TGTCAATTACAAGGCATGTCTTGACACTGATTCATGAATATTCAACACTGACTGATCTTCATGCTCGTGTTTTACAGTTTTACTGAGGTAGAAGAGAAGGGACCTTCATCACAGCACAGAGTCGTCGTCCAGCTGGAATACAAGCTGTTTCATTAGGGTTAAATAGTTAAATGTGTGTTATATAAAAGTGCATTAAAATGATGGAGCACTCCCTTGTTCCATGGAACTCACATTAAAGCATATTAAGTAGACATTTATTCCTGAAAAGAAGGAATCTTAAATTGGAAAAAAGACATAGACCAGTGCCTTGAGCGAAAGGGGAGCTTTAAGACGGCAAGAAATAGGGAATTTTTTTTTTTTTGTGATGAATCTACTGGGGAATTAAATCATGCAATCAACAACATCTGACCTTTTTGAACCTGCATGAAAATTGGAGAGGTTTCATCATCTTTAAGTCAAATTCAATCACATCAAGTGTGGAGTGATGTTTTAAAAATCATAAAGTCATCTGTTGGCCAATGACACCAGATTAACGCTGCTTATCTCATAGGGAGAGAACTGGACACATGTGATCCTTATCTAAATAGGCTCTGTAAGAGGAAGCTTGTCTAGGAGACAATGTCTAGGTTGGACAATGAGTCTCCTCTGCTTGATAATATCAGATTAAGATGTCATAGTGGTCACTCAATTTCAAATGTCTGTTAAAAAGTCTACAGCCTCTGTCAGTAAACATTTCCAATTAGAGTTGGCTTACATCATTACTTAGCACATGAGTGTCTGCAGGAACATGCGATGATAAGACGAAGCTCTCTCACTCACAAATATACATTATGTGCATTTGAATAATGCCCATTAATGTACTATATACCCTGATGTTCAGGCCAACAGACTACACACCGTCAATTCTAGTCTTATAATGATATGCTGATAGACATCTGGTGCTGGTAGTCAGGTTATAATGCAATCTCAAGAAAATGATACAGAGTACAGTAGCTACATATAATTAATAAAATGTTTAGGATTAAATCCTGTTGTATCTGTTAAAGGCTGCCTCAGGGGATGTTCCCTGCCTCTTTGGCAGCAAACTCTTAATATTCATCAATATATTTCGCATAAGGAAAACTATTCAAAATTAAGTCACCATGTAATTTTTAAATCACAACGACAGTGAAACAGCTTAGATTTTATATACTGACTTAAAACGGCCTAACATGCAAAATTTAATAAATACATTTAACGCAAAAATGTGTGGCGCTGTCCATGGTGCTGCACCTGTCTCAATATTCAAGTAGAAGTGCTGAATAAACAGCTCCTGTCAAAAACTGTACACCCTGAAGGAAGCATCAGGATTGGCCATGCATTTGTGATTTTTTTTGTTTGTGTTTTTGTTATTTGTACTTGTTAAAGAAAAGTAAGTAAATATCATGTTGGCTGTTAATGATGTCAGTCAGGATAGCTTTATACATAACTCTTTCCTCCACACACACACGCACACACACACACACTCGCACGCACGCACACACACAAACACACACACACACATTCTTCAACGTGTCATAATTGGGAAATAACTTCAGTCCAATTTGATTGCTCTTCATTTGCTGCCTCTTCTTCCCCATGAGCAGTGATTAAACTATGCATATATATAAGGCAGTTAGTAATTAAATGAGCCAATGGGCAATTATTGCTTAATTGTATGTAATTTCCCTTCATTAAAAAGGTAAATGAAAGCAGACCATATTGTGGATATAATACATTGGATATAGCAATAAACTCAATCAGCTGTTGAGCACACGGCTGGCCTGTCATTCACTATGTAGAACATGACTGACAGTTTTGGACATATTGTTTAAATGAGAGATCATGGACACCATGGGATAGTTTTGTCCTCACATGTCATCCTTGAATGGCTGAACTGCAGTGTCTGTGGCTTATTGACATATAATCTATTCTGCATTAGGCTGAAATACATTGATCAGCACTGTATTAGCTTTACGTTATAACAACATATACAACATAATCCAAAATGATTGTCCAGTGGGTGGTGAGCAACAGTGTCCTCTAGAGGAGACTGCCACCCCCATTTAGAGAACACCGCTTTGGTTTAGCTAAATTCTTGAAGCTGTATTAAGAAAACCTCACAAACCTTAATTTTGTATTCGTTTACATAGAAAAGAGACTGAGCAATGTTTTCTTACATATTGTGGTTTTACCCATAAGGCCATGAAGTTGTTTATGGTGGTTGGGAGATGCATGATTTAGTTTGTGGAAAGAGGGTGTTCACATGATGGTTGAGTGAGACCTGTCTCAAATAACAGTAACACCCACCCATTCAGATACAATATGGCAAAGACTGTTTTGAGGGGAGGTGACCTCTGTTTCTAGACCTCTTCACGTTCTGCATCACAGCTGTTGTCTGCATCGCTTTTTTTGTTGCCATTTCCCGATGTATTTCTCTGTCTTTGTCACACTTAGATTGAAATTACTCTGTAAGAATCCCCTCCTCTGCCCTCTGCTAATGACTGTAGTCTCGTACAAATAGAATTTCTACCGTTGTTTCGCATTGAAAAATACAATGACCAATGGCTCTTAGATTGTTTCCCCCCAGTACTTGTTGTTTAGCCTTAGATTAACCAGCTTTACCAAAACATCCTAAACAAATAGTTTTAATAGAATGAGAAGGAATAAATACTTGTAATTCTATTATTGTTACAATTTTTTTAATCAGTGTTTTATGTGAAATCGACTTAATCGAATTTAATATTTTGTACTGTGCATACTGAAATATATGTGACAAAACAGAGGTAAATTGCTATTAGACGACGGGGAATTTAAACTACAGCAGATCTCTGTGAAATCACAGTCATGCACCGGCTGTCAGTCAGCCCTCAGATTGGCAGAAGAGTCTCGCAGCTGATTGGTTCTACTCACATATGACGCAGATGACGTACTGAACTCAAACACGTGGGTCTCACATAAACAAAGACACATTGGCAGACTGAGCTCTACATGCCAGTGTTGAGCTCCGCGCTCTGCGAACCACACGCCGTGCTGGACATTTACACACATATTCTGCATCACATGCTTATGGATACAATATAGTTTTACTGATGGTCTACTAAGGTATGCAATTGCCTTTCTTTTTATTCTTTGTCTGTTTGGGCAAATATGCATTTTCAATAAGCAGTGCAAAAAATGTGCTATGGCATGTTTGTTTTTAAACAGTCTCTGTTGTTTGTTGATTTCTGCTGGTTTTATAGAAATTGATAAGCTGTTTTTCTTTAGAGCTGAATTGTGAAATGAGCATTTATTCAGTCCTTGTATGAGAATAGAGACCAGCGCACGCTGGTGTGAAATTGTGTTTCTTCAGACATGCATTTATTAGCAGAAATATATATAAAAATATTGCAAACGCGGCGCGCAAATCCTTAAACTTTCGCCCCATCGCTCACATGTTCTGATATAACTCTTTCCTCCACACACACACGCACACACACACACTCGCACGCACGCACACACACAAACACACACACACACATTCTTCAACGTGTCATAATTGGGAAATAACTTCAGTCCAATTTGATTGCTCTTCATTTGCTGCCCCTTCTTCCCCATGAGCAGTGATTAAACTATGCATATATAAGGCAGTTAGTAATTAAATGAGCCAATGGGCAATTATTGCTTAATTGTATGTAATTTCCCTTCATTAAAAAGGTAAATGAAAGCAGACCATATTGTGGATATAATACATTGGATATAGCAATAAACTCAATCAGCTGTTGAGCACACGGCTGGCCTGTCATTCACTATGTAGAACATGACTGACAGTTTTGGACATATTGTTTAAATGAGAGATCATGGACACCATGGGATAGTTTTGTCCTCACATGTCATCCTTGAATGGCTGAACTGCAGTGTCTGTGGCTTATTGACATATAATCTATTCTGCATTAGGCTGAAATACATTGATCAGCACTGTATTAGCTTTACGTTATAACAACATATACAACATAATCCAAAATGATTGTCCAGTGGGTGGTGAGCAACAGTGTCCTCTAGAGGAGACTGCCACCCCCATTTAGAGAACACCGCTTTGGTTTAGCTAAATTCTTGAAGCTGTATTAAGAAAACCTCACAAACCTTAATTTTGTATTCGTTTACATAGAAAAGAGACTGAGCAATGTTTTCTTACATATTGTGGTTTTACCCATAAGGCCATGAAGTTGTTTATGGTGGTTGGGAGATGCATGATTTAGTTTGTGGAAAGAGGGTGTTCACATGATGGTTGAGTGAGACCTGTCTCAAATAACAGTAACACCCACCCATTCAGATACAATATGGCAAAGACTGTTTTGAGGGGAGGTGACCTCTGTTTCTAGACCTCTTCACGTTCTGCATCACAGCTGTTGTCTGCATCGCTTTTTTTGTTGCCATTTCCCGATGTATTTCTCTGTCTTTGTCACACTTAGATTGAAATTACTCTGTAAGAATCCCCTCCTCTGCCCTCTGCTAATGACTGTAGTCTCGTACAAATAGAATTTCTACCGTTGTTTCGCATTGAAAAATACAATGACCAATGGCTCTTAGATTGTTTCCCCCCAGTACTTGTTGTTTAGCCTTAGATTAACCAGCTTTACCAAAACATCCTAAACAAATAGTTTTAATAGAATGAGAAGGAATAAATACTTGTAATTCTATTATTGTTACAATTTTTTTAATCAGTGTTTTATGTGAAATCGACTTAATCGAATTTAATATTTTGTACTGTGCATACTGAAATATATGTGACAAAACAGAGGTAAATTGCTATTAGACGACGGGGAATTTAAACTACAGCAGATCTCTGTGAAATCACAGTCATGCACCGGCTGTCAGTCAGCCCTCAGATTGGCAGAAGAGTCTCGCAGCTGATTGGTTCTACTCACATATGACGCAGATGACGTACTGAACTCAAACACGTGGGTCTCACATAAACAAAGACACATTGGCAGACTGAGCTCTACATGCCAGTGTTGAGCTCCGCGCTCTGCGAACCACACGCCGTGCTGGACATTTACACACATATTCTGCATCACATGCTTATGGATACAATATAGTTTTACTGATGGTCTACTAAGGTATGCAATTGCCTTTCTTTTTATTCTTTGTCTGTTTGGGCAAATATGCATTTTCAATAAGCAGTGCAAAAAATGTGCTATGGCATGTTTGTTTTTAAACAGTCTCTGTTGTTTGTTGATTTCTGCTGGTTTTATAGAAATTGATAAGCTGTTTTTCTTTAGAGCTGAATTGTGAAATGAGCATTTATTCAGTCCTTGTATGAGAATAGAGACCAGCGCACGCTGGTGTGAAATTGTGTTTCTTCAGACATGCATTTATTAGCAGAAATATATATAAAAATATTGCAAACGCGGCGCGCAAATCCTTAAACTTTCGCCCCATCGCTCACATGTTCTGATACGGCGCAAAAAAAAGGGGGTTTTAAATTTCAAAGTTAAAGTGAGCTCTATAATTTTGTATTTGTGTAATAGCCTAGAACTAATAAAATGTGATGCAAAATCAAGTGAAAGTTGTGTGTTTTATCAGAGGGAGAATCCAGACCTGACTTGTTTGTCTTGAACCCCGGTATTACATTTCACCTGATATTATCACCTGCACAGCGATCTGCAGAGGAACAGTCCCACGACTGAAGGTACTTCAGCAGAAAGGAAAAAAATGAATAGTTAAAAGCGATTTTGCAAAGTTGCATGCAAGCTGGAAACAGTGCTAAAACATGGTTTGATGGGCATGCGGCTATTATTTTCAGGCTTTCTTTATGTTGTTGTTGTTTTTTTCTTTTATTGATTGCTGTGTTGTTTGCAGCCATGCCCTGCGTCCAGGCTCAGTATGGCTCATCCCCGCAGGGCGCGAGTCCTGCGTCTCAAAGCTACAGTTACCACACCAGCGGAGAATACAGCTGCGATTTCCTCACGCCAGAGTTTGTGAAGTTCAGCATGGATTTGACCAATACCGAGATCACCGCCGCCACCACCTCTCTGCCAAGCTTCAGCACCTTCATGGACAACTACAACACCGGCTATGACGTGAAGCCGCCTTGTCTTTACCAGGTGCCCCATTCTGGAGAACAGTCCTCCATCAAAGTGGAGGACGTCCAGATGCACACATACCATCAGCAGAGCCATTTGGGCCCGCAGTCAGAGGAGATGATGGCCCACTCCGGGCCTATGTACTTCAAACCGTCCTCACCTCACACTCCGGGAACGGCCAACTTCCAGGTTCAGCACAATCATATGTGGGAGGACCCGAGCTCCCTGCACACTTTTCATCAGACCTATATGACCTCACATATGATAGATCAGCGCAAAAACCCCGTGTCCAGGCTCTCCCTCTTCTCCTTCAAGCAGTCTCCACCCGGAACCCCTGTTTCCAGCTGTCAGATGCGCTTTGACGGGCCTCTCCACGTGTCCATGGGGCACGACAGTCCCGGAGCGCACCGAGCCCTGGACAGCCAGAGTTTCGCAGTGCCCAGTGCCATCAGGAAACAGGCGGGAATCGCTTTCACGCACTCCCTGCAGCTCAGTCACGGCCATCAGCTGATGGACAGTCAGGTGCCGTCACCCCCGTCTAGAGGTTCTCCGTCCACCGAAAGTTTGTGCGCTGTGTGTGGGGACAACGCGGCTTGTCAGCACTATGGAGTCCGAACGTGTGAAGGGTGCAAAGGCTTCTTCAAGGTATTGTTTTGCATTATTATTATTATTATTATTATTATTATTATTATTATTATTTATTTATTTATTTGCTTATTTATTTGTTTTGTTACCGGTTATATCGGTTTTCTCTGATCTTGAAAGTAAAATGAGACTTAAACAGACATTCGAGCAACTGTTATTTGAGCGTTTTTTAAAATATTTTATTAAATTTTTTTCTTTAAATCTTTATTTTGCGCACTTGTTAGTCGCATATCTGATTAAAGATAATTTACACCAAAAACAAACCGAATGTTTGCTTAGAAAAATAATATAATATATATATATATACTCTAAAAAATGCTGGGTTATTTCAACCCAACTTTGGGTCAAATAGTTTAGCCAATAAAAACTGTCCTGTGGATAAACGCCGGAGAAACAGATGTCAGTATTGCCGATTTCAGAAGTGCATGGTGGTCGGAATGGTGAAAGAAGGTAAATCGCTTTTTGTCCACAAGAATGTGCGTCTCGTCGCACCTGGAAAACAGAGAAGTGCGCAACTGCAATTACAGTCATCGTTGACTGAGTTGTATATACACGTTACAACGAGCAATACAGCCACTTGATAATAACAGTCTTGTGTTGTTTTGACAGTTGTTCGGACCGCCAGCTTAAAGGGTCGGCGAGGCCGTTTACCCTCCAAACCCAAAAGTCCGCAGGAGTCTTCGCCTCCCTCTCCGCCCGTCAGTTTGATCAGCGCTCTGGTCAGGGCTCATGTGGACTCCAACCCCTCTATGAGCAGCCTCGACTACACCAGAGTGCGTTATATTGCATTCGTCTATAATATTACTCCTCATTTTAGGCTTTAAAAGAAGAAAATCAAAATGTGCATGTGACTCTTGATGCGCTTCCTGCGCCAATCTGACACAACCAATATTAGGAATTTAATATCATACAGTGTTTCATTATAAACTTTCAACACTTTAAGGGTGGCATATTTTACTCTCTAAATTGCTTTTGCAAGAAAGAAGCCAGTGAAATACAGACACAAGTCAAATTAAAGAGGGGGGAAACTCTCCCCCTTCAAGAAATGGGCTTTGCAATTTCACGGGTTATATATTTTAAGGGAGCTCATTAAGTCATGTTTAAATTAAATTCCAGTTCCAAGCCAACCCGGACTACCAACTGAGCGGAGATGACACACAGCACATCCAGCAGTTCTACGACCTCCTCACCGGATCCATGGAGATCATCCGCGGATGGGCAGAAAAGATTCCCGGGTTCACCGACCTGCCTAAACCGGACCAGGACTTGCTGTTCGAGTCTGCCTTCCTGGAGCTCTTCGTGCTGCGCCTGGCGTACAGGTACCGAGGCCTCTGGAGTTTTCAGTTTTTATTGGCTCTGCAATAATTAGCAGCCGCTTAAATCCCCGTTTAATGCGCACGGTAATTAACGGGTGCTTTGTCATTCATTTCAGGTCCAACCCGATGGAAGGCAAACTCATCTTCTGTAACGGAGTGGTGCTGCACAGGCTGCAGTGCGTCCGTGGATTTGGCGAGTGGATCGACTCTATAGCGGAGTTCTCGTCTAATCTCCAGAACATGAATTTAGACATATCTGCTTTCTCATGCATCGCCGCCCTAGCCATGGTCACAGGTGAGATCAGTTTTATATACTGTTAAGAAAAGTGTAACTGTTTTTTATGTTATGTTATATTCTCAAATAAGAATGATTATTATTATTTTGCAGAGAGACACGGACTGAAAGAACCCAAGAGAGTGGAGGACCTTCAAAACAAGATAGTAAATTGTCTGAAAGATCAAGTCACCTTCAATGGAGGCGGCTTGAATCGTCCAAACTATTTGTCCAAACTGTTGGGTAAACTGCCTGAACTGCGCACACTGTGCACACAGGGTCTGCAGCGCATCTTCTACCTAAAACTAGAAGATCTGGTCCCACCGCCAGCAATAATCGACAAACTGTTTCTTGACACTCTGCCCTTTTAAACCGTGAGAAAAGGAGAAAAAAATAACTATTTCAAACAACCTCAGAGAACTTCCACTGACTCTCTTGAAAACTGAAAGCCTGATTTTTTAATCCACCAACCATTGCCAAATGACGTGCGCTTTCAGAAAAAAAGGATTCAACGATATAAAGCCTGGAAAGCACAACAGGTGATTTTGGCCCTTTATCCCACCCAAAAATTCCGCTACTGAGTATCTCAGAACAGAGAAACATGTAAAACTAGGTAAAAAGGTAATAGTAATATGAGAAATTATAATAAAAGACACATATTATTAGGTAGTATGCCTGATTTTGAACGATGAAAAATATCTCGCCACTACTAATCAGTTAACTGCAAACGTCTGTATTCATGGAAAATCACAGAGTAGAGTGTATTATACCATTTCTATATACTTATTCAATAGATTTATGTGATTTATATGATATGTATAAAGCTTGTACAGAGACATTTTTTTTATTTTATAACTTGTGCCTGTGTATCTGTCAGGTGGGAAGGAGACGCATGTTGTAGAGGACTCTTGTCTCTATTACACACTCTATATTCCGGACACTATGTAGTCTGTTAGATTTTATAAAGATTCGTAGTATTGGGACAACTTTTAAATACGGCACATGTGTATAAAATACCAGTTTCATCTGTACAGGTAAAAAGGGACCCATAGTGTTTGTACAGTTGTCAGACATTCCTCGTTTGTATGTGCTGTATGTATTGTTGCTGTTTAATATAAACGTTTATATATTTATTTTGAGTTTGCCGTTAAAGCATGGTGCAGTTGAAATGATTTCAGACGCATCACCGTCGTCTTTGTTTAATGTCTTACATGTGATTTTATTTGCCATCTATTCCTGTAGGTGTGTGAAAATCATCACTGCCTTTTTATATGGTTTAACTAAATATACTACAACTCGTCCGGTTCCGACCCCGAATCAAACTTCATGAGAAAGGAATATTTAATGTTTACAAATAAAACTTTTAAATCATTTCCATGCAGGAGCCGTGCCTCTTAATTACATTCCATTATTTTGTGATCAGAATTTGTTCAAGGAAAAACTTGCATTACTGAAGGAACTCAAACAAAGAAATAAAGTTTATATATATATATATATAT